CATACCAAGAGTCAAACTCGTCATCAGCTTGCTTCTAAGCAATCTTCGAATGAGGAAGCCTTTTAGGGAGTGCTGCTCTTGGTGCGTGCTAGTAGTTGGCTACTTCGGGATGCCTTCGCCTCTCACAAAGGGTGAATTACAGAAACCAGCTTGGCCGGAAGTTACAACGAATAATATGTTAGAGACCTACTAATAAAAAGAAGTATTGATAGTATGCGTTTTATGCTGCAACAGTTGCAGCACGAAATGCATAAAAACTCATCGTATGCCCCTGCAAAAACGAAAGAAGTTTTGCCTAGTTTGCAGCCTTATGTATTACTGAATAATAAAAACAAAGAACGAAGTAAAAGGAAGAAAAAACGAATGGTGTTGAGCAGTAATAAGCTAAGTCATTTTGTTTTTGGCCATTTCCTTTCGGGAATTATTCGCCACTTTTAAGACAGAAAAATCAACAAAAGCACTTCGAAAAAGCACAAGAAACATTTAAAAATTCAAATTAATGGAAAAATCTCGAAAAAAGGGTGAGGAATGCAGCAGTGAAGTGGAGGAACGAGTACTAGTGAGGAATACATGAAGTGAGGGATGCTGTGAGGGCCGGTTTATGAGGATTTGCCTGGTCGATTCACAATTATAGGGGCAGCATGCATTTAAGTGCCCACAATGAGAACTCGATGGAGCCGGCTTTTTTTCGCGCATTTCCGCGTTTGCACTGAATGAGGTTCTCTCCGCCTCTTGACTCAACTCCGTTCAACCAGCGTGGCCTTAGCAACTATGTTGGGGCGCTCACTCTCTATGTGTGTTTTTGCCGTCATGTTATGATACTGCAATATGCAAAAATTTCACAAATTAAATTTCATAACAAGTATAAACGTGTGTGGAATTACGCGAATGAGAGAAGCCTAAAACAGAAAAGAATGGTGAAGTTGCCAGCTATACACCACTGGCGAGAAAAAAAAAACACGATGATAAAATAACATCTGATCACAGTGTCAAAATATGATAATATTTTACACAGTAATATTCCAAAATTCATTGAAATCATACATGAAATAAGCTTCTATACAGTTGCTAATAATAAGTAAAAATAATCAACTGGATGCCAAAGCCAGAAAGTTAATTTTTTTCAGGAAGAGAGATTTTTGACTAGGAGATGCTACGACCCCTTCGCAAAATTCAGCAAAACGGAGTCTGTCCACAGCTAAGGTATATCGACCGGAAACGGTCAAAAGGCGCCAAATGTTAGTCACTATTTGGCCTAAGCCTGCCAAACGTATAAATGTTGTTCAAAAATGAATAAATGTATAGGAAAAATGCATGCTCTGAAAAAAGGCATAAATGCCTTGTAATAATCCCCCAGAGCAGTAGGCTTCATTTTGCTGGTTTTGCAGCGTTTACGACGTATTCTGGCAACAGAAGACAGCCAGTTAATTCCCTCCCCGACATTGAAGAAATTTAGTATCACTAGCAAGCAAGAATGTTAAGGAAGGTTATATGACGAGGGCCTGCACTTCTAACAAAAATGAATAAAAATGCCCAAATAGAATGAAGAAATAATTCAGGCATTAAAGGACAACAACAAGAAAGGAGGGACGGGGCGTGAGTGAAATGAGGGAGCGTACTGGAAGACAGTGGGGCAAGGATAACGGAAGGTAGAGGTGAAAAAGAGGAAAAGGTGAAATTGAGTAATAAAATTGTGAGACTTCGAATGAAATGTTGAAAAAGTTCATCATTTTCTTCCAAGGAAAAATTTTAGAAAATTTATTATTTTTCCAATACTTCATTAAGCATATGTCGAAACAAACACAAAAATCTAGAAAATATTGCTAAAGAGGTTAACAAGACTTTTGGTCTGGATATTTTAAACACTAACAGAGAGGTAACTGCTAAGGCATTCAGATTCGACGGACAAGAGAGGGCACCTCAAATTCCACTTCAGTTAAGCGAGGCGGCAAACTTTGCCCATTTTTGCTCCAGTTTATTACCGGTGCAAATATTATAGCCCAGTATGGTATATACTGCTAATGATTTACCTGACACACCGTTATTTTTGAATTTCAAACTCCTTTGTTTATAAAATGCTAAATAGGTTATATGGTTACTGTTACTGCTTGCCATAAAAAATCTCAAACGAAAAGTACGGAAATTTAGGTCACTTGCAACTGGGATGGCAACGAACTACAAATAATGGCAATAATCATAACAACAATAATAATGATGATAATAATGGTGATAACGATGATGATAATAACGATAATAATGATGATAACGAGGATAAATGATAATAATAGATAATAGTAATGATAATGGTAACGATAATTATAATAATGGAAATAATAACAGCTGAAGCAGTACCAGACGAAAACAACAATAACTGCGACAACAACAACACGAAAAGTGGAGCACTAAAGGATAACAATTATTTTCCTGAAGTAATGTTACTCGTGAGGGTATAATTAAGTTGCATGCCAAGAAGGAAAATATAACTGAGCTAAAGTAAAACAGCTTTCTAGCGATTGGGAAAAAGCCTGAATTTGTTGAAATTTTTGAAAAACTGACCAAAAATCTTTAAAAAACTGATCTAGTTGATTATTAGAAATTTGCTGTAGTTTGTTAATTTGATCAAGTGATTGACCAGCTGGCCAAGTGCAACACCTAAGTTGATTAATTTTTGCGCCTACTGTCTCAATTTTTTGCAATTTTGCACTTCGTGTACAGACAATTTAGGGGGGAAGACATAAAATTTACTATTTCAGGAAATGCTCAAAGTATCAAGACTCAAAAGGACTGGAAGTGCAGTAATCAGCAGAAGAAAGAAGTATTTAGGGCGATAAATCCTGAAAAGCAAAAGACAAAAGCCTCTCAATACTGCCTTTCTATGAGAAGGCACCTGAAAAGTAACTGAGTATGGATGGAATTTTTAAATTTAAATCCCGGAAAACTTGTGCCTTGCACTCTCTACCCGCATCCCGAGCCTAAGTTTGAAGGATAGGACTACCAAGCCCATCGCAAACTTACTGCCAGATTCGTCGGTCAGCAGAGACAAGCCTTGATGGCAGTTGATCGAGCTATCATGTATGTCCGAAAAAAGCATGAATGGCACAAAGAGAATGAAATGATGTCGCTGCTTGACTAGGAAGATTCCGAAATGAGTTCTGAGGCAAGAGGCTAGTCCCAAATGCAGGCAAGCAGCCTTTCCTCGCCTGCGCCTCAAACAGCCAACCATCGATTACTTATGGCTCTGGCTGTGAGCAGACGACAGATAGGCTATTAGGCTTTTGCAAGCCCTGAGGCTGCACAAGACGACTGTCGCCTCATTACATCATCCACAGCCAAAGGGAAATCTTTGCTGCAGCGAGGAAGTATCAGTGCCTCAGTGGAAGACTGACCCTCGTTTCCACAAAACAGCGAAAGAAAATGGGACCGACGTTCCCCCATTCGAACATGCTTAATCAAAGTTTCCTTTTTTTTTGGAAATCAACTATAATTAGTTTTTCTCGTTTCTTCTACCCAAAAATTTTCAAACAAAATCGCTTTTTATCGTTTCTTCTTTAATATTACAACAGTTAATGAGCATAAGTGCAAAACCATATGCCAAGAATACTGGTACATGTTAGAAAGTCAAAATCACCACCAGCTTGTTTGTAAGCAACCTTCGGAAGAGAAAGCCGCGGAAATCATGTCAGCAGGTAGTTGCACTTGGTACTTATTATCCTCGGGCCTTTCCCCGAATGTCTCCGTCTCTAATTTTGACTTTTGCTTTACAAAATCGAATTTAGCAATTCCCAAACGGATTGGCCTCTTTCAGGGGAAAAGCAACCGAACTGAAGATGTGCTGCTGAGAGGCTGACAACGAGTAAGAAGCCTAGGAATAATTGCTCAGCTCATTAATGCATCTCAATAACTCAGATATACTTCACACGACAGTCCGGATGATTTTGATGCTGATAAGCATGATTTTCATCACACACACACACATCATCTGATTCTAGTTATTCGATTTAAAAACAGCACCGGCACATCCAGCAACATGAGTATATTCAAGAAACACTATAAAATTATTACTTCGTAACAGCAGGAATTCCCTTCTAACACGAACTATTAATTGAATCACTGCCCAGTGCCTACGTCCCTCACAAAAAGTCAATACTGAAGGAAGTTCTTTTTGATCCACTATTTACAAATGCATAAATTTAATGCACAAATAAATTTACAAAATCAATTGTTTTGTTTGAAAATATGAATAAGCCGTGTCTTGAAGCTGACACTAGATGAAAGACTCCTGCCATTTAATAACAGCAAAAGCAAGAAACCCTTTCAATCCATGAAAGCAAAAGTATCAAGCAGGAGCATCCTCCTCCCCCCATTCCAGCGTGCATCTCTCGACATCACTAAGATACACATAAATGCTACGTACAGCAATAAAATGCTTACCTAACAGCAACAGAATGCATCGACAACACTTCACCCGCTTAGGCTGGGAGACTACAAAATGCTCAATTTTCGCTACGAAAAAAATCTCATTAATCGCTAGTACTCTACACTAAAACGACAGCTCACTATCGCAAAAAAATAAGTACCCGTGCAAAAAGTGGACAACCGGAGCCGAGCCGAGCGGAGACAGAAAGAAAGAGAGAGGGAGAGGGAAGGCAAAGAAAGACAAAAGGAGGAAAATGCTGCAACAACCACTAGGCATAACCCGTCGACGGACCCTCTACTATACAAAAGATACAAACGAAAACGCCTTCACGAAATTTATTACTGTACAAATGCAATAAATTATGCATGGAAAAAAACAGAAGGCAAAAAATCAAGGAATCACGCCAAGACAGTTCAATTCCTCAGCAATTCGTCTTTTAGATAGCAGAAAACGTCTAAAGAAAATCACTGAGGAACTGAATATCGCCTTGGCTTCCCTGATTGTTGTGATAATCATGTATAATAACATATATTTATTATGATAATTTGTGAATAAATATTAACAAACACGAAGGCGACTAGAGTTAACTGCCTGGATAATTTTCGATTAGCATTGCAACGCCATGCCCTCCAGAAGCGCATGCAGCCACTAGTCCCAGATGCTCTGCAACAAGTGTTTAAAGCAAAGAATACAAATGCACCCGCTACCGACCATTTCCAGGCCAGAATCCGCAGGCCTAGAAGTTTGACACTGAATACCTTTCATCGGCCTTTTTCCCCACTAACCTGCCCCTCTCCCTCCCCACCCTTCTGCCTTTCTATATCACCGTCATTCCTATCCCTCTCTGAAAAAAAAATTTTCTTTTCTAATGAACAAGAGTATTTCATTATTAACATGCTGCTGGCATCACGTGGAACGTGGCCATTAACGAAAGTAGAGGATACTGGACTGATTGTAATACAGGGAAATATGAGTAAAAGAATTTGCAGCATTCTTCTGCAGCTAAATAGAAAATCAAAGGTTCAACTAGACGGCCCAAAAGAATAGCGCTCATTAGGTGAAACCGTGCTCAGTTAGAGTTACTGTTACTCGCGAATAAGTTATTATAGTGGTATCCACGACAAAGAATAAGTGGTAATGGTGCCCGCGGTGAAGAAAACAATCACAAGGACCTTCAATGAAAAAATAACTTTTCGCACTAGATTTTGCAAATGTCAACAAGCGGCGGCAATTACTACAACTCGGCTCGGCCTCTTTTGTGAGGCGCACACGTTTCTCTGCTAATGAGACACAACAGCTGCCAAGAGTGGCGTTTCTCGGGGCCCTTCGGTAACATCGTCAGATCACTGGATGATGCTCCCCGGATAACGCAGTTTGGGGTGGTGGGTGGGGAGGTAAGGAAAGTGGGGTGCTGTTTGAGCCGCAAGGACTCTTGGCAAGAGAAGGCCTGGGACAGTCACCTATGAATCCACCATCATCCCAAAAATCTACTTCATCCAGCCACTAAATCTACAAACGAGTGCAAATGTGCAGCCGGACCGAGTTTTCGCAGTTGTTTATCCCAGCCCCTCCCTTATCCTGAATCTCGTAGTCGAAACTCGCATCATACCGTCCCTTCTCTCCACCCACCATATTCCAAATCCACGATTCCAGCGTCACAAGGCAACGTTTCCCCGATTGTCAGTTGTAGCTTTCGCGATTCGTACGTTACCCTAATTGAGCCGAGCCGAGATACAGTAATTTCTACAAGAGTCTGCTAAATCAGTTCAGGCACTTGAGCGTTAGCGGCAGTGGTGCTTGCCAAAACTGATAAAAGAGTACAAACTAAAACGAACTTTTTTCGTGTCGCAACCGATTTGCTGCATGTGACACCAAACGTACTCCCGTTGCACCAAACGGATGCCCCAGTGAAAGACTGCCTCCCCAACAGTTCAATTTTTCTTCCGGTATGCGACCATATTTACCGGACCGATTCAGCATTTGCTGAAAAACACAAGCAGTGAAATCACGAAACTCGGCACGTCTCTAAAAATTATTTCAGTACTGGCAAAAAAATTCAGTTCTAACGAAATAGTTTCGACACAAAATTTGAACGAAACCTAATTACCCGAAAAAAACTCACGGCTCAGATCATGTGTACAAATTTTTAAAATTTCATATTCATAAGCAAATGTCACATTACCTTACAAAAGTAATCTGAATCCATTGCATTTAAATTGGCGAGGATTTGTCCCGCGAAAGCTTCATGAATTTCGAAAACATCGATGTCTTTTAAAGTCAATCTAACCTAAAAAGCAGGCGATGTACGCTGAGAAGAACGCGAGATCCAGCCTAAAAACACAAGTAAAAACAAAAAAAAAAAGTGCATTAAAGAAAGACGAATTCTTACTTTGTCCAGCAATTTTGGTATGACATAAGCTGGAGAAAGAAGAAGCTGATCTATTGGATCTTGCGCTACGTACTGGAAATCACGTAGATAAGCTTTTGGCTTATAGCCTTTCTTCAGCGCATAATCCTCCGTCATTATCAATGCTGCCGAAGCACCATCGGTGAGAAATGAAGCATTACCTAAAAAGCAGAATGCATCATTCTCAAGCCCTGCCTTTTTTCACTTACTGCCTCAAAACAGCAATTTACCAGCGGTAATTGTCCCGTGAGGTCTGACGAATGCCGGCTTCAACTCTGCCAATTTTTCCACCGATGAAACGCGAATTCCGTTGTCTTTTCTTATCACTGCTGGTTGATTGCCGGGAGCAAAAACAGGCACAACGTCTGTTAAAAGATTCTCTTTGGTGGCACGCTCAGCTAATGTATGCGATCGAACGGCATATTCATCTTGTTCACTGAAAAAGCGCGAGAAAAGATGAGGGGGAAAGCATCAAGTTCAATTGCTTCGAAGTAAAAGCATAATCAAACGCAGCAAACAGACGGGATCTCCTTAAATGAACAAGAAAAAGAAACGTGGGAGTTACGAGATAAAACTGTTACAGGCCTCCGATTTTGAAGCCTGGGAAATTTATTTTTCCTCAACGGAAAGGATTGTATTTTGAAAATGTAGGTAATGTAATTAACGACAATCACTCCGTAATTAAAATACTAAAAAACAAAAAAAAAACAAGAATTAAAAAAAAAGTCGTTTCCGATCAAGCAGACCTTAATTTCATGTTTAATTTTTTAAGAATTTGAAAAATCAAAAAAATCACAATTGCTAGGAATCAAATCAAAATTTGATTATGTAACATAAAAATATCTCGAAAAAATAAGAAATGCGGACCGCCTGGAGACTCCAAAAGCAGCAGCAAGTCGGTCACCGCTATGGCCCATCGTTTCACCGGAAGTGAATTCGGCAACAGCCGGCAGTTCGGGCATGAAGAAATTTACAGCAATATCTTTTGCAAACTTCAATTTGTCCGGAATTTTCTTTGCCTTATTTAACGAAAGCATCGCTAAGCGAGCCTGAAAAAATGAATAATTTTTTGATAAAGTAAACAATATAAACAAAAAAGACCTTCTCACATGGCGTCAATTGGCATTCTTTAAAAAAAAAAATAATATTAAGAAATGGACGGAGGACAAAGCTCTGTATTCTTAAAGAAATTCACACCAACCGGCTATTCAGAGGCCATCAAAATATCGGAAAGATTAATTTTGGCATCCCTTTGGTACTTTGGTGATAGGAAAGAAAACAGACAGTAAATAGGTAAAAATAACTTGAGCAGCACAAAGGTCAGCGTGACGCTTCTTAAAAAAAACTTTAACGTGGGCACCAGAAATTTACATTTGGGCAAAAGCTGAGCGAAAGTGCATTAGGCTAACTCCTCTTTTCATAGCGGTTTTGAAAGCAGAATTGAAAGAAGTGTGCCCAGAAAGATCAAAAGGGGCGAACTAGAGCTTTTGAAAATCGTAAATGTGGAGAAATTTCATAAAAATAAGTAGGAAACTAGAGAAGGTGAAGGCCCTCTTGTCCCCAGTCCCAGATGGAAGCTCCGCAATGTCGCATACATAAAAAATACCTTTCGATTGTATCGTATTGGCACATCGGAGAGTAACTCAACGCCACCAGCAATACCAACATCACAATATCCTGTTGCAAGCATTCCCATGATATCCGTAATTGCAACATTCGATGAGATGCACGCCAGCGTGACTGTATGTGCTGGTATCTACAAAAAAAATAAATAGCAACGCGCACCAGACTAGCCGGTGCGATCATGCGTTCTGTGGAATTCAGCCCATCGAACGACCGCCTTTTAATGATTTTCGCTTTGTACTTTATACAAAAATACTTCAAATATTGGAAAACGGTTAAAAATTTCACGCACCAGCGCATGAAAGCTGAATTCGAAACCTTGAAGGGTGAATATCTCTGTCCCGAGTTAATAGTTTACTCGCCAAAATTTTCACGAGGCCTTAGGTGATACACAAGAGCGCGGGAGCGCTGAATTTGAATGGGCAAGGTTGAGCGTGGGCAGGGAGTCATTACCCTAAAATTTTAGCCTCCTAGACTCCGAGGTTCCCGAGATATCAATCTACCCGTAAAAACTTTCACGGGCCATACGTGTTACCCGCGGGTACCGGGAAGCTGAATCTAAATTTGCGGGATCACACGTGGGTGGGGAACGTTCCCCTAAATCTTCAGCTTTCTAGCTTTTGTGGTTCCCGAGTTGAAAGTTGCGGATAAGTTGCTGCGGACACACACAC